AGTGCCCCACAACCCTGACCCGCAGCCCCCTGCCAGCCCAGCCCCGGGCTCCCCCCTTCCCACAGCTCTGCCGGTGCCCCACAACCCTGACCCGCAGCCCCCTGCCAGCCCAGTCTGGGCCCCTCCCCCAGCTCTGCCAGTGCCCCTCAACCCCGACCCGCAGCCCCCTGCCAGCCCAGCCCCGGGCTCCCCACTCCCCACAGCTCTGCCAGTGCCCCTCAACCCTGACCCGCAGCCCCCCAGTGTCGCCTTCCTCGAGTTAAAGCCATAATGACCCAATGGCACAAGGTGTGTGTGTGTGTGGGGCGGGGGTTGCTCCAGCCTGCGCTGAGGAAGGCCAGCTTTGCAGACCAAGGAGAAGCACGGCCTTTAGGGGCTGATCACGGAGCCATCTGAGAAGCTGGGTCAGGGGCCAGCAAGAGCGGGAAATGACCCCTACAAAGCCCCCCTCCAACCAGGGGGGAGGGGAGGGGGGAGCTGCCAGCAGCTTCGTGGGGCCTGGAGAACAGATCCAGGCTGTTTTGCTTATAGGATCAAAAGTGAAGGCAGCGAGAAGCTACAGGGGATTTTAGATTAAAGAGCCTCCCAGAGCCTGGTGGCTGCGCTCAGATGAAGAGCTCACCAGGCCTCAGAGGGGTGAGGAATTCACCAGGCTGAGCCCCGCTGGGGGGACTCCTGAACCAGGAACCCACAGATCCCCCGTCCCCGGAGCTCGGGGCCCCTGCTCAGCGGGCTACCCCACAGCTGCTCTTAGTGCAGCCGCCAGGGCAGGGGCCCCATGGGTTGAGCTGGGGAGGGGGTCCCGGCGGGCCAGGGTGAGGGGCAGGGAAAGCACGGCCCCCCAGTGGTGGGGGTACAGATTGGGGACCAGGCTTTGGAGCCGACCGAGGGCGAGAGGAAAGCCCAAGGGACAGACCCGCAATCAGCACGCCATCCCCAGGGCCTGGCAGTGCCAGCTTCGCCGTGCTGCGCTGAGGGGCTGAGGCAAGCCGGGGCCTGCAGACCCCCAGGTGCAGGGGGAGAGGAGCCGAACACCAGCGCAGGGACGAGTTTCTAAAGCACGTTTGGTTGCAGGCCTCTGAGCAGCGGGGAGATGGGGCCAGGGCAGAGGCTGCACACCCCATGAGCGGCTGGCTCGGGCCTGGGCAGAGCACCAGGGCGTATCCCCCAGAACCCCACAAGCGAGGCTGCAGCCACCCCCCACATACAGCACCAAGCCCAGGCACATGCACTGGGGGCACATGTCCGGGGCTCCCTCGGAGGCCCAGGGAGGAGGAAAGGTGAGTGCAGCCCGGCCTCCAGCAGCCGAGGGGTCCAACATGACCCGAGAGGCCAAGGGAGGCCTGTGCACCCCGGATCCCGCTGCAGAACAGCCCGTATCTCCCCGTTCCCACCAGCAGGAGGCGCTGAGCCGGGAATGCCCCTGCCAGGCTGGGGAAGCCGGACACTCCCAAGGGAGGAACCCGCCTCATCCCGACCTCGCACCCACCCCCAGCACAGGGCCACGAGCTCCCCGGCCTGGGG